ACCGAGGCTCCTAGAAATGACACCAAATTGTCTCCGGCTACTTGAATCATACCTGGAAATGCTGTTATCGAAAGTATCCCTGTTGTGCTCAGACTCCATTAATTTGTCTTGACCATATTTTCTTTCCCTTTTCCTCTTCTTTATTCACTGAGCTTTCTTCTCTTTTGACTCTATGAAATGGATGGTATTAAGAGTAGGCCCAACTTTCCTTGATAATGGACCAGTGTGGGGATGGAGCGCTAAAGTGGTTTTACACTACCTTTACATTTATTCCCTCCTCTAAAATGTGTTTGGACCAGGGACTTATTTGGTTCTAATGGCTGCTGATAAAAGCTGGAGTTGCAGGGATGTGTCCTGGTTGATCCCAATTCGCCAAGCTTTACCCCCCTCCCTCCCCAAAGATTATAGGTATGTCCCTTAAGTTGGCATAATTGCCCCTTTGTGCCATCAGTGCAACTACATGAGGCCAAGAATCTGGCCTTTGAAGTTGAGAAAAGAGCAGATTCAGTCACTGGCAGGTGACTGAATTGCCATGTCTATAGCAGTATGTTTTATATGCACTGGCAGTAGCTATAGGACTGGCTGTATCTAGAATCAGCTCTTTTAATATGAAAATATTAATCTAATTTTCTAAAGTAAACTGAAAACTATCTTGTTCTTGCAGGAGAGCTGCAACAAGAAAGATGCTCCCTAATGGACAGACAGAAGTAAGACTTGGCAGATAAGGAAATGTCTGAAAATTACAGCTTCCAGTACTCTAACCAGCGCATTTGAAAAAGGATTCAGCAGGTGTGGGTAGCTGGTGGTGGGGCTTGCTGTTCAAGAGAATCTGCTGAAAATTTAGGCAAAGCAAGATTTCCTCATTGCACTGAAGAATGTTTCATCTACTACCAAGCCAATCCTCCTCCCTTGGAACAATCTGATACCAGTTCTTTTTCTACTAGTTATTCAGGACTAGAAAGTGCTTTGACTTGTGATGCCCTAGATCCTGTTTTAAGCAGACCAGGTAATTTTGATTACAGCATATGAATTTATTAAAGCAGTGGCAATTTAACAAGGATTTGCATCACTTATATTTTAAATGTTTTTCTGAAATGTAAAGAGTAAGGTTTACCTTCAATGTCAGTTCAAGACTTTTAAAGAACATTCCTTCTTGTATGGGCAAATTCACTTTTTGCTTGTGTAAACGGGTAGCAAAGCTATAATAGTATTTCAATGAGAGACTAGTGTGTGGTTCATCTGGAATGTAGTACATGAATGCTTTTCATCAAGTAGAGAGACTCTACAATTAAAAGTTGTTTTTGAAAAGATAAATTTCTATTACACAAATTTGTGTATCAAATATAATTTAACAAGGTACAGTCAATATTTTTAGATACAGGACTCAGAGTCCTGATTATGCCAACTATAATCTACCAAATTCATAGTTGTTAAACATGAAATCTTGTCTTTGTGTACTTGTACTATTCAGATTTAAAGGGAGAGATCAGCATTTTTCAAACTCAGGGTCCCCAGGTTATTGTAGGGGAGTCATGGTATTGCCATCCTTACTTCTTCACTGCCTTCAGAGCGGGGCAGCTGATGAGGATCAAGCACTGAAAGCAGCAGCCCAAAAGTAAGAGTAGAAATGCAATACCATATACTCTACCATACCATCCATACTTCTTCTATGTTGCTATCTTCAGAGTTGGGCTCTTGTTCAGCAGCTGCTGCTCTCCACCCACCTAGCAGCAAGGATGACAATACCACAACCCTTCCTTCCTAATAACCATCTTTTGGGTCAGGATCCCTACATTTATACCACCATAACATTTCAGATATCTGAAATAATGAAATATACTATTTTTAAAATCTTGATGACTCTGAAATTGACTGTGAATTTGATAGGGCGCTAGCAATAATATAAACCACAGCATACAACGTGCTACAAAATGTGCATAATTTTTTGTGCTTTGAAAGATCAAGTTTGTTTTATGCTAAACATCTCTAAACAAATTCAGCAAATGATTAGGGCTAAAGGTGAGACCAGAATTGTTTGTTTTTATTGTTCCCCGTAAACTCAGACAATAATATTAAGATAACCAGCCAAGTTTTGGGTACCTACTTGTTCCACAGTGCTTTTGGTATTTTAAAATAAGGTTGTTTTTATTCTTTGCAGAAAGATAAAAGTTTGAGACAAGTTTCATTCTTCTCTCTTCCTCAAAATTCCACTATTAGTATTATGTAGAAAGCCCTCACTTTTAGCTTTTCTTGATTGTGTTGGGAATGGTCTTTCCAAAAAAACCAACCCCCTGAATTCTCTCCATAATCCTGAATGTACATAAAATACATTTTTTTCCACACTTACCTGAAGAATTCCTTTCTTTGAGCAACAACCTCTACAGATCTTTTACAATGGTACTTCAGTCTTTCTGGAGCTCAGAGACTAGACCTGTCAGCAGGGGAATATTGCAAGCTTGAAGTTCCCTTTTGTTAAGCACTTGTACAGGTAGGATAATTCTAATAAGTCTCACACTGTTAAGTATATTTTGAGGAAAAAAACAACAATTTCTCCATGTAGTGCATGGTGGGCTTGTCTTCACTAGGGATGTAGAAGTGTAACCATTCAAATAGTTAACTGATAAGCATGAGCGTAACAGTTACATGCTGGGGAAGGCGGGGTAGCAGGCAGTACATGCCGGGAGCTGGTTTAAAAGCCGACTTCCGGTCTGCACAGCAGGCTCTGCAGTATAAAACTTATACTCTGCCTGCAGCTCAGTCATCTTCCCAGCGTGCACTGGCTGCCGGCCCTAATCCCAGGAAGCTTTATACTGCAGGGCCTGCAGTGTGTAACTGCTAAGAGATTTAACAGTTAACATGGTTACCCTAAGTAATGGCTTTTTAACATCCCTAGTCCTCATTTGATAAACTTAGTCCTTGAATGTTAATTTCCATCTCAGTTCTGGATGATCCATTTGTCCCTAGGCTGGACCAGCTCTGTAGACCTTATTACTTGAAGAAAGTAACTTTCAGGATGGCACAGATAAGTTTTCAGACTAAGGTTTACAGACCTACTAGAATGGGATTTTCATAGCAGGACATGGACATTTGCTCCTGGAGAAAATAATTACTTTTAGCAAAAAAAAAAAAAATAAGATGACTAAGATGCAAAATTTGGTGAAAGCTATGTAGCAGCTCTCAATATCAGAGACAATGCTCATGAGGACTGGACTCCCTCATGAGGCCTACCTTCCAAATTAAAAATACAATACCAGGTCTTATGTGATAAAGCTCCCTATCTCCACCATATTTCACACTCCATTTCCAGCTGTCAACAAATAGATTTGAGCTAAGGATTAAGTCCTATATACCTGCCTGAAACCTATTTAAATCCTTACATCTCTCCTCTCCCTACCTCAGGGATAAGTCATGTGATTTTTAGGTTCAGAGACTATACTTAAAATACTGTCCACCATTTTGCATAGCTTGTGAAAGAATGCAAGGGCACGTAAAGGAGAGTTCATACTTTTTTTTTTTTTTGGCTTGAGTTTTCACACCAAAAGGAAGGCTGAGAGATGCCATCTTAGGCTTAGCTACCTGTGAAGGACCTGTAAAGAAAGGAGGTTACATTTTTACCTGAAAGATTAACCTGTCAGAATTGCTGAGCTCCTGACCACATGGGCCAGAAGAGGGTTAAATGTGGCAACAGGGTCAGAAAGCCCCTTACAATGGAATTGGGAGCAGCTCTGCTCTGTCCATGACTCTCAGGCATGAGGTAGCTGAGCTGTAGTCAGAGGCATGGCTGGATCTTCCAACTGGTGCACTTCCCTCATGGAGATAATACTGTTGTTATCTCTGCCTGGCTTTTTCTTGCCCATGGAAGAAGAGGTAACTCGACTGGGCCTGAGTGGTGAGAAAAATTGTCCTCTACCCCAGAGCTGGCAAAGTCCCGCCACAAGACAATTGCTAAGGACAGGGATTTGGAGCAATTACATTTTTGAATTGCTCCACTCCAGCTCTGCTCCATGCTCAGACTCAAATTAATTTTTAACTAAATAAAGTGCATACTGTAATTTTGAAAAAACATTATTTTTATTCAGTTTTAAAACAATTTAAATGTCATCAACAATGATACAAACTCGAATCATTCATAATTCAATCTGTAAAAAATTATTGCAGCAATCAAGTCTTTCATAGCCTGCCTCAGATCATTTAAAATTAACTTTAAAGCCGAAAACAGTCACTCTACACTAGCTTGAGTTGTTGGCATCCTCAAAGCAATTCTACAGGCAGCCTGAATGCGGTGTAGGAAGTAGTGAATGACCTCAAAAACAGACTTAACTTTTAGCCTACCAATAGGCTCCATCACCTCACAACCTTCCCGAAAGTTTCTCTTGAATAATGCTTCATTACAATTATGAATCACAGAAACTCGCCAGTGTCTTTCTTGTTTATCCAATTCCTTTCTGAAGTTGTCATCTTCGGAAGAATTGGTGCTTGAATCAACTCTATTTCCCTGTGACGTCTGAAGACGTCTCAGGGATGAACGCTCGAACACAGCCTGCTATTTCTGAACGATGTGAACTTTACGAAACCGCAGATTTGATTGTTGATGACTCCTTTTGTTGTGTTTTGTTTTCTTCAACCTCTTTTGCTGAGTTCAAATGTAGCAATAGATTTTGTTTTTTGAGTCATCGAGCAATATCAAGGAGCCCTTCCTTTGCCTTTGGTATTTCCCTTGAGGTAAGAAATCGGATACCATGGGTCAACACAAACTCCAGCAAGGAAATGAATATTGTCAAAAAGCTTCTCTGCATTTCTGTATGGAGGATAGAATTCTTTCTGCAATTTGTCCACCATTTTCTTGCAAGAATTTTGACAGTTGCCATTCCTTCATTAAAACTCCCGAAGTTACATCAACAGCTTGAAGATTCACAGTTGTTTGGTTTGGCTTTGCTAAGAGGTCTCTCACGTTCTTCACTTCATCCCATTCAGCTTTTGTTAACTTGAGTTCTCTTGTGCCAGCAGCAGCCACTTGTTCATAGTAAGATTGAAAAATGAGAAGCCGCTCAATCATCGCAAATGTTGAACCCCAGCGAGTCACAGTATCCAATGATTGAGTTACCCCATGTAGATCAAGCAGAACACTGGGGGTTCGTAGTTTGACAACGACTTGTCGAATTTTTGCCAGAAATTTCTTTGCATGTTTTTTGTTCAGCCCATCCCAGATTGCCAACTGAAGAGCGTGAATGTCACACCTCATCAGTTGGACTTTTGAGTTGTCCTCATGAAGCTATGTTGGAAGTATGAGGCTACAGTCATTAACCCATTATGCAGCAGCATCCATGTTGAGTTAGATTTCATCCATTCCTTTAGTTCCTTCATCAGGCAAAATAGCTTCAGTTCTGTCCGCATCCCTGTTCTCAAAGGTAGAAATGGTTTCATTGTCCTCGCTGAAATTTTTGACGGCACATCATGTTTGCTGCATTGTCAACGCAGATGCTCAGCACTTGCATTTCACTGATCCCAAATTTTTCTAAAGTAGCTTTTACTTGACTTTTCACGTAGGAAGAATTGTGACGCCCTTCAGTGTCAATTATGTCCAAGGTTTTTACCACAGCTTTATCTTTTCCTTCTTCGTAGTACTAAGCATTGATTGCAAGGAAACTTCTGTTTCCATGGGTTGCCACATCCATTTTCAGGTAGCACAATTTCTGCTCCAAAGCTTTCTTGAGCTCTTCGTGAGCAGACTCAGCTGTGCTGACAACTAAATGATGAACCACATCGTGCCCTGTCGAAACGCCACACTGCCGACCCATTCACCTGCAATTTTTTGGAATCCTTTGTTCTTTAGCCTGAAGGTAGTGAGTGGTGTTGAACTCAAGCAAACCATTTCCATCAGCCCTTCACGGAAAGTATTGGCATCCATGGTGACTGTAACCTTTGAGGACTTCAAATATGAGTCAAGTTTTGTTTGCTCAATTTTGGGTTTCTTTTCAGATGAAGCTCTGCAAAAAATCTTTTCTCCAGGAGTTTTCAGAGAGCCACATGAACGTCGTTTAGCTGCCTCATCTTCCTGGTTCTTTTTTGTAACCAAGGCCGCATAGTTTTCAGGATGGTTACGTTTTACATGCCACCAAAGGTTAAAATTTTTCATGGCACTTGCTTCACTTGTCTTGAAGCTACAGGGTTTGAGCTTGCCATTCACTTCCTTTTCTACCTTGCACGTTGCCAATTTCTTCTTTGCTTTTCCCAAAAGCCCAAATTTGGACTTTTCAAATTCAAAAGTAAAGACATCAAAGAGATCCTTTTCCGTAAATCGGATATCAATCATGGGGGGGTAGATTTGATTTTTTTTTGTTGAAGCCATGGCCAAATCTTCTTGTGCTGCTACCGCATCCAAATGTTTCTTATGATCTTCGAAAAGCAATGAACAAAAGCATTACATTTTTTTATAGTGCCCCTGCTTGTGATATCTTAACCACTTAAGGTACTTCGAATTTATTTTGGATTTTCTGGACAATAATGATAATTTTCTTTTTACACAATTATTATTAAAATATATTTTAACATGTTTCTTGCAGTTTTAATGAAGTAAGAAGTATTTATAATACACATAATTATACATTTTTATTTATAAATTGCGAGTTCGTTTTTATGAAATTTTGCGGTAAAATATTAATTAAACTTTAAAATTTCGAATATCTCAAACACTTTAATATAGATATATCAATGAAATTTAGTATGTGCTGTAGCGTTAGGACATGCTATCACTGTTCTACAACATTAATTTTTGGGAAGTAATGAGGCTGCACATTACAAGTTTGAAAATAAACACATATTAATATAAAACATGGGTT